GGACATTTTATTTTATCTTCTTTGTATGCAGAAAAAACATATACAAAGAGAGAAAGATTACATCAGATAACACTAGTGTCACTGAAAGAGAAGAAAACCCAAAAAGAAGAGAAAAGAAATGGGCCAGGCAAACAGATACACTAGATAAAGAACAGCCAGTCAATTTCTTTATAGAATAGACAAAGAGAAATCCTTAAAAAGCCCATGCACCTTTAAAGTAAATAGAGAAAGAAAAGTCATCTTGTCCCAAAAAAACAAAGAAGAGGTCATAAAGGTCTCAAGCCGAAGGAGCAACCCAAGAAACAACAAATATATTAAATAATCAGGTCGAAAGCCTCCAAGCCACACCACAGAGCAAAATAAATGTTATGGACCTTTTATTTACCCTGTGCATCAAAACCTGAAAGTATATATAATTATGCCTAAAAACTCCTAATTCTTATGAATCAGTAACCAGTATTTCTAGTATTGCTAAAGTCTTGCGTATAAAAAGATCCCAGTTACTCCAGATTCATCAGACTATCATAAACTGAGATTATTTACTATGTTTTTTGAGCTTCACATTGTGCATAGACCTTGTTTCTTGTATCCATGCTTATTCTTCTTTCCTCTCTTTCTTTTCTTGTATAACTCCAAAATTATAGCCTGCAACCTGTAAAAGAGTCTGTGAATGCCACAGTTGGAAACCTTATGACTGGGAGGAAGAAGAGTATGCTAGAATGATTCAACTCCTTTTCCTGTGTAGTGTTTCACTTACTGCAGCCAATAAATCGCTCTAGAAACTAGGTAATAGTGGTTACTTTTCTATGACATTTTTCTTTGGCATTTTACCCGCCCACTTACCAATCAATTTTTTCCTGTTGGAAGCATGTTTTAAAGTTGAATGCTGCCACCTTTAGAATCACTTTATTTGCTCAGGACTCAGTTAGAAGGAGAATCCTTACTATTGATTCTGTAAGGAAGAGGAGACCAATTCTGGTAGTCCACCATAAATTAACTTGCCCAAAGAAATATACAGTAAACATCCCCTTGCAATCTCTATCTCTGTCAGTGCTGGAGTCAGGAAATGTTTTTGTAACAGTTTTAATGTCCAGACTGAGTTATAAGATTTATGACAAAAATTCCATTGCTATCTTGGTCTACATCTCTTCCCTGTTAGCTTGAAGATGGGAAACACATTTTCTTTTTAAGGTTACAGAGCCAACGTGAGATACAGAGACTTAAAAAACCTTGATACAAATTCCCACAAAATCCCGGTTTTAAATTAAAAACAAAGACATAAATCAATAGATCATAATCAAGAAGGATTTGAGCAATACAAAGACCCATTTGATTTATGAGTTGACCTAAAAATAGTCAGGAAATATAAGATGACTCGCTCCACATATTTAAATTTGATATGTTCAAGAAATTTGTAAAATCAGAAGAAAGCAAAAAATGTAAACACTAAACAACCATAGGCAAGCCAATCCGAGGGAAGGAAATACCTTAACTCAGTTTTCGAATGTGCAACATCAGTTTGAATTGAAACATGTGGAATTGTGATCAACTGACTTTCATCGATAGCATATATTGCATGACCACATATGCATCCAATTTGACGTCGCTTTGTCACCAGAATCAAGTAATACGACTCCAGAAACTTAATGCAACCTGTATGACCGAAAAACATATAATGCTCCCTCTTGTAGGACTATCGCATCAAATAAAAGAAATAAGGATAAAACATGCACTGCCACTAACCAGCTATCCCAAAAACCTTGGCCACAAAGGTTAAGCCTCCTGTAGCTCGATTACCTTCAGCAATTCGCTGAAGTAAGTTCTTGATTTCCTGAGGTGAATATACCACTGGATCTTCACTAATATTGAGATCAGATGGCTCAGAACGATCAATCTTCAACACCCGGAAATATCTCTTGTTCCTATCACTCCCAACTAAATAAAATCTCTGCTTAAACAAGCCCAAAATAATAAACCAATTAAATAAGACCTCCAACGCACTAATAGCAACATGGATCATGTCTTATCTATCAATATATACATATATACATATATATGGCTCATACTAATAACCACACCTTTAAACAACATAACTTCTAAACTAAGTTCATCAAGCAAGGATCAGTCCACCGTCTGACCCATAATAGTTGATTGTATTACAAATTTTCCCCCTTTTTTTTTCTGTGTATTCAGAGAAAATCAGATCAACAATTAGCTTCCCTAATCCACCACAAGTCCATTTTCTTTTAAGATAAGCAAATGCAAAACCTACGTTACTGTTTCCCCAAACCCAGATGATGAAACGACATGTTTTCATAATTCAATTTACATATATTATCAAACAGGATATTCAAAACCGTACATACATTGACCGTCACTTTTTTTTCATCCGTTAACATTCAGCTCAATCAATTCAACTCGTTCCTAGCAAAAATCAACAAGACTTTCAAGTGCGTTTCTGATTTCCAGAAAACACAAGAGATGAAAATGCTAGAAAGCTCAAACTTACTATTTTCTTGTACTTTTTTACCATTTTTTCCTCAATAAAGGAGAAATCTCAAAAGCGATATTCCATGTGGAACCTGTACAGCGTAATCTTACCGCTCTGGTCTCGTAGAGCCTGAATTTCTCGAACGAATATGAATTGGGATCGACTTCAGACTCGTTTGACGGGTGAATTTTGGCGTAAGGCGGTACGGTGGACTTAGAATTTTCGGCTTTCGCCATCTCGGAATCCACTCAAAATTCTATGGGAATTTTCGTTCAATCAAACCTCTAAGAATTGTTTCGGGATGTGATTGAAAGTTTTTTGGACCATTAACGTCCGGACGAGAAACTGGCATCAAGAACCTTGAATTGGAAGGAAGTCAGGGGTTGATTTGAGAATTTCATAGCCTTCGATGACCATTTCTGAGTTGTTCTCAAGATCTGCACTCACCCGAGTTGACTCATTTGGCCATTTTAATACTCTTTATTTCTTTTTTTCTTTTTATAAATAATTTTTTGACAAATAGATTATTCTGTTAATATGAACTTCTAAAGCGTATTAAGTTATTTATATGTTTACTAAAAATATTTTTATAATCTACCAATCACACCAAAATGGTAATTTTATTGTTTTACGTATATATTTTTGTTTAAATTTTATTTATTTTACACTAATTAAATATCATTTGAATAATTTCTTATTATAGTTTATTGTCCTTTATATTCTTACTTATTTATTTTAAATAAATACAATTGGTGAAATTTTGTCTTAAACTTTTTATTCATAATATATATATATTTATATTATATTGTTTTCTGGAATTATGGCTGATTTTTTTTTTTTTTCCCTAAAATTATTTATGTTGAGTTAGAGCCACATAATATTATATTTTGTGTCCACAACCAGTGGTTATAGATGTGGCTATTATCCACTCGTTGGCAATTTTAATTAAATTATATCTATTTGATGTATAAAATAGCCACAAATTTAGTTTATAGCTTTTATAAAAAAAATAGCATCCAAGACATGGCGGCAAGACTCTGCACGGGCTGCAGTGCGAACGTGATGGTTTCTCCACCATTTCCTGGCTCAGCCAGATGCGGCGGCCACCAGCAAAGACGCACCACAATCCCAACTTTGGCTGCCAAATCTGGCGGATTCCCCTTTAATTCGGTATGAATTTTTAGATTATTTTAAAAATTTTAAATAAATTCAAATAATTATGAAATTTAAATTGCAGTCTAAGTTTTTATAATTTTAGTGCTTATTTTGAATAATTTTGGCTGATAGCTTCTGAAAAGTTGCCAAAAATGTGAAGGCAAAGGAGCCATTGAATGTCCAGGATGCAAGGTGTGTTAATTTCATTAAAGGTTTGACGTTTCAAAAATATATTTTTGAAACATCACGAATTTAAATATATTATATGTAAATAGATTATTTTAAAGTTATTATGACTATATTATGTTTTGTTCATACAAATTGTTTAA